GGCTCTACTTCGTACTTAATTCCCTATGTATTTTCATGGATACTCATTGTTTTTTACTTTTAATCATTGCTAGTTACTATATTACTAAGTCGTACAGATGGAGCCTCTATCTATCTATCTGTCTATCTATCTATCTATCTATATATATATATATAGATAGATAGATAGATAGATAGATAGATAGAATAGAGGCTCCATCTGTACAATATATATATATATATATATATATATATATACAAACATATATATACAAACATATATATATAAAATATATATATATATATACAAACATATATATACAAACATATATATATATAAAAACATATATATATATATATATATATATATATATATATATATATAGAGAGAGAGAGAGAGAGAGAGAGAGATAGATAAAACATATATATATACAAACATATGTTTCGGTGGTATTGTATTCTTTCTGAGGCAATCACAGTTCAGATGGGCTGGTCATGTCATCAGAATGAGTGATGATCGGATGCCGAAAATTCTCATGTATAGCCAACTTTTTCATGGTAAGCGTAACGTAGGCCGTCCTTGGTCACGCTTCAAGGATAAAATTAAATACAGTTTAATTGCTGCAAAAATCCCTATAGAGGAATTCGAACATGCTTTTGATAACCGACCAAACTGGAGAAACACCTACCACCGAGGTATAATTGACTTTGAAAAGAATCCTCTTAAACATTTGAGAGAATTAAGAATTAACACTAAATCTCGGGTTAATACATCAGCGAATATGACGGTCAACCCTTCAGTATTGCCTTCGTATCGATTTGTTTGCAAATCCCGTGCAGGATTGTTGTCTCATACGAAACATAAACATAAAACCTGAACTGAGAAACGAGGGTGAGCCCATCATATATATATATATATATTTTTTTAAGCATTTCACCCCAAGCAAGGCGGGAAGCCACTAGGACGCAAGGGGTTACAGAAAATAGGAAGATCAGATAGGAGTGATAGAAGAAAGGATGAGGGTAGTAGATAGATTAAGGCAACTGGAGATGTCGATTGACATTACACTTGAATAGCTGGAGATTATAACTCTCAGGTAAACAGGAGAAGGGAAGAGAGTTCCACAGGCGAGAGGTGCGAGACATGAAGCTATTAGAGTAGAAGAGACGGCTACATTTAGGAGTTTCGACAGTGAAGGGGTGAGAGCGGGATGCCAGCCTCGTAGGGCGCTTGAACTCATGAAGTTTGGGAACCAGCGAATGCAGTTCCTCGGAGCAATTTCCATGAAAGTATTTGTAGAATAGACAGAGGGAGGCGACGGTGCGTCTGTGAGAAAGTGACTGTAGACGAGAGGCCAAGGCAGGACCACCCATATTGCATATCCGCTTCTGGAGCCTATCAAGAACCCCGAGGCAAACAGAAGGGGCGCCAGACCATATATGGCAGCAATACTCCATGCAAGGGCGAATTGTGGATTTGTATATCTGGAGGATCGACTCAGGGGAGAAAAACTTCCTAGCGCGGCTCAGGGAGCCAACTTTCCTCGCAGTGGACGAGGCAATTGACTCGATGTATTTATTCCATCTCAGGTCAGCAGTCAACGTGAGACCGAGAAGCCGCAGAGAGTTGCTCTCGAGAAGTGTAAATATTTACAAACATAACAGAATCTTGGAAGTTGAGGTTCATTTAACATGTGTCGTGAACAGGAGAAAAGAAATACATTTCATTAAAGCTTATTTTGATCAGTCATAGCAACTGATCCCCCATCATTCTTTGTGTTCACCACCTCTCTTCGCCCAAGAGAAGCGAATCAAGCAAGTGGTTCTTGATTTGGGCAAACTTGTCTTCTATGTGCCGTGTCCCTTCAGTATGTGGGCGATCTTAGCTCTCCAAAGCATACTATTCCTTGTAGCTGTTAGCTTCATTTGTCCCTTTGAGAAGCCTCCTAACGACTTTTCCACCATCTCTTTACAAATGAGCGTCTCCAACTGTCCCTTTTTGACTAAGATATATCTTGTGAATATCAAACTCTCCAATCCTTCTTTCCTTATTATGTCTCTTTATAATTTTGACTGTAAATATCCTTTCTGTTTCTTTTTTTTTTATTTTCCTTCTTCGGTGATTACATGCTTCGACCATTGTATTCTCAACATCCTTCTGTAAAACTACATTTCTATTGTCTCCTGTTACAAAATGCGAATGTAAGAATGGCCAGTAATTTGCTGAAGTGCCACGTGGCCGTGGTATTCTGACAGTGATAAAGGCCCTCAGTCTTTTTAGTTCAAGACAGCGTGAATTCAATAGAAATTTTGAAACGCAGATACGCTTCCCACGCCTCGAGAGACTAAGAGCACACGCGGAGGGACGCTTAGCCAAAGCGCGACAAGCGTTCCCTTGACGTCACTCCTCCCGCTGTCACTTAGAAGCCCAGCTGTCACGTCTCTCTCCTAATAAAAACGAATAAGGAAAAGAAATCGTCCTTCTCATTAATACCATTTTATGTAGTAGAGTGGAGACCCAGAGACGACAAGGAACGCAACACTTCAAATTTCTCGTCATCTTTGAGAAGATTGTTTAGCATTGTCATATGCGAGAATTGATAATTACATAAGCCTTTCTCTGCCATGCCATGCATAGCTTTTGGAATACTCTCTTCGGATTTCGGTGTCACATTCTCTGAACTTGTTTTTTGTTGTGACCAAGTAAATGGTTAAAGAAGCAAGAAACAAGTATTGCAGATATATCATATATTAAAAAGTAAGTACAACAGAAGAGTATTACACGACTAGTGAGTGTATGTTGGTTGACTCAGTGTTCAATCTATTCGACTGTTATATTTAATAGCCCCACTACGAGGGATGTATGTGGCACAAGGCGGAGTTTACCGTGGGTTCTTCGAGCCTGTAGGCTCGGCCAAAAATATTCCCTTAGAACCCGTGTAAACGGGTTCAGGGTCTGTCTACCTCCACGGACGAAACCATGCCCTTCGACAAAGCCTCGTCCAGGATCCTCTCTGCCCAAACGCAGATAGTTAGAGAGCAGCTGCGAGAAGTCACAGCCTAATAGAACAATCTATTCGACTGTTATATTTAACAGCCCCCTCTACGAGGGATATATGTGACACAAAGCCGAGTTTACCATTGGTTCTCCGAGCCCATAGGCTCGGCCAAAAATATTCCTTTAGAACCCGTATACACGGGTTCATGGCCTGTCTACCTCTCCTGACGAAAGTTTGCCCTTTCGCAAAGCCTTATCCGGGTACCTCTCTGCTCGAGGCAGAGAGTTCAACAGATAAACAATCTGGTCGGCTGTGATATTTAACATCCACCCTCACGAGGGTTGTACGTGGCACAAGGCCGAGTTTACCGTCGGTTCTCCAAGCCCGTTGGATCGGCCAAAAATATTCCCTTAGAAACCGCATAAACAGGTTCAGGGCCTATCTACGGCAAAGCCTGGTCCGGATTCCTCTCTGCTCAAAGCAGTGTTTAACACTAATGGACAATCTGGTCGACTGCTCCCACAAGGCCTTCTCTCCTACTAATCTTATAGTAGGCGGAAAAGTCCAACATAGACTCTTTAGATGGAGGACACCACAACAGTTTTATATTGACATCTTCAGTTCCTAATTTTCATGTTGGCTTTTTCCCCCTTGCTGACAAACATACATTCTACAATTGATGGCTGATCCTGTCTTTTCGACTACTTTATCTAGAAGGACTTTTAGTTTTGCTTGCGTGTCTGCCATCAACACGGTCATCTACTTGCCTTACTCAGTTAAGATTGTAGCCACTGAAAATGAGCCCAAAGGGCAAATTGCTAATCAAAGATAACTAAAAGCAAACAAGTGCAGAAAATTTAAACAGTGTTTTAAACAGAGTTTGAAAAGTGTGATACTGCAATCCGAAGACGTATTGAGATAGAAAAGATGCCTTCCAAAAGCTAAGCAGAGTACTAAGAAATAGAAAAAATACTTCGCCAGGAAAAGGAAGCGTATTTAACTGTTACGTGATATCTGTCCTTCTGCATTGGTAGCGAAGGCTGGACAATCTCATTAAAGATGAAGAAGAGACTTGAAGCAACAGAAATATGGTTCTACAGAAGGATGGTGCGCATATAAAGTGCCGAACATTTGAGCAACGGCGAAGTTTTAGAAAAAAATGGAAAGAAAAAGGAAACTTACAATTAACATCACGAAGGGACAGCTGTGGTTTGTAGAGCACGTAATAAGAAAAGAGGGCTTGGAAAATTTGATACGCACGTGACAGATTGAAGGTAAGATATATATATATATATATATATATATATATATATATAGAGAGAGAGAGAGAGAGAGAGAGAGAAAGAGAGAGGAAAACAACGCATAACATAGCGGTTTTCTTCCAGTATAGGTTCTGGAGCATTCTAACATGCATTCTAAATATATCCAATTATGTCCGGTTTTCGCAGCACTTCAAATAGATCCTTGTGCCATACCTTATAAAACATATAAACTCGCTATGAAATTTGTGAATTTAAGGCCGGTATTAGATTGGCGGTAAGGCTTCGTCATCTTACAATGGAAACGACTCGATGTAACCGTAAATTCTATTTCTCGCACGGCTTTTTGCTTTCCAGTCAACTTTGGTTATCAGAAATGTAAATACAATGCCAACCATCATTTTTTCTATCTTCATATTTCCTATTCATTTATTATTCTCTTTACTGAAAAATTAATTTAATAACTGCCATGCTTAAAGTTAAAATTGTATTATTATTATGAAATTCTTGTCCCGTCTTTTGTTAGATCGCACGACCGTTACGTCCCGTCAATAGCTCATAAATATTGGACTATTCCGATTGATCGCGTGGAAAAACAAATGACATATAAAATCACAAAAAAAATGTTATAAATGTATTATTATTACTTCTTGTCTCTTTAGATCGCACGACCGTTACGGCCTGTCAACACATCATAATTATTGAACTATACCGATTTGATTGCGTGGTAAAAACAAAAGACATATCACAGAAGCTACTTGTTTTCAGGAAAAGAAAGAAAGAAAGAAAGAAAGAAAGAAAGAAAGAAAGAAAGAAAGAAACTGGGAAAAAGAAAGAAAGAAAGAAAGAAAGAAAGAAAGAAAGAAAGAAGTATTAAACGCATCCTGCTAATACCTCATAAATAAAGTTTATTCCGTTTTCATTGCGTGGAAAGACAAAAAAAAAACATATCATAAACGACACTGTGTTTTCCTCATATTCCCTAACACTCATTTACTCCTTGAATCCTAGTGGCTTTATTATCATATCATGCTTGGGGTGAAATGATTAAAAACAAAAAATTCACTGATGTGAACACTAGTTCTTCTGGAAAGGTCCTTTTGGATAGATAACGGGCGATGGTAAGAAAATGGAATTAGGCCATTGGTCAAGCATCTAAATATCTGGCCCGCATTAAATACAGCACGCGTGTAATTGATCCAATTTGTCAGGTCTGATTTATCAAAATAGACAGAAATAGGATCGAAGTGTTTACTTGATGTGTTGTGTTTGACCAACCAAGTAATTTTTCCTTGATTTCACTCTATTTCAATCATTATTTCTCCAAATACGCAATTTTGCCAAAACAGAGCACGTCTTTTTGACGTTATTTTTTATTTCTCATAAAATTAAACATTTTTTTTACTAATCCATTATACTGACACCATTGAATTCATTGCTTCTTTTTAAAATATGGATTAAGTCGGAGTGCCTATGTCGAAAGCAAACACAGTTTTTTTTTATTGTTATATGCCTGTTTCATTCTTTCTTCTCTGTTATCTATATCTAAAAAAGGCAGGATGTGTGTGTGTGTGTGTGTGTGTGTGTGTGTGTGTGTGTGTGTGTGTGTGTGTGTGTGTGTGTGTAACGAATGCACGGCCGCAATTTTCGACAGATTTGCACCAAAATTCACATGCACATGCTCCAAGACCGACTGTGCATTTCTCAACTCCCATCGATAGTGGAAATAATCGATATTCTCATGCTTCTACAGCGGTTTTCATGTAGTTGGCGGCCATTTTCTACTGTCCAGAGTGAGAGCCTATAGCTGGCTGCCACTAATAGGCAGGGCAGGAAAGTTTTATTGGCCACCGTGTGAGCCAATAGCTGACTGACACGAATGCTAACTAGCATGGTAGCATGCAAAAAATAATCGATAGCTGCATTCGTCACAAGTGGGAAAAATTTAAATCTGCACGGTACTTTACTCCAATTGGCTCATTCGCTTGCTTAAACTCAACGTTGATTCTGATTCCGCAGAACTGGGTTTAGTATTTTTTATTAACATTCTTTTTTTCATTCGGTTTTTCCAGTTACGAGTCCTTTTTTAAAGCTGATCGTTTTTTTTTTCATTTTGTTTAGTTCTTTTTCGTAACAGATTTAATGTTTAGTATAGAGCTTAGAAAAAAAATTCGCAGTGTGAGATAGGCAAGAAGTAAGGCATGTAGCAACATCAGCATAGCAAAGAGCACTCCTTTAAAGGCAAGGAAGGGCAAAAATATTTTAAGTCAAGTGATAGCGATTGCTGTATGAGTCGTACGATTTTTTAATCAAGCACGGGCAACGCCGGGCCATGCTGCTAGTCTTTTATACATTTCTTTATCTTTATTTTCTTTCTTTTCATTTTGACTTTCTTTTATTTTAGCGTTATTTTCTCTCTTCCATTTTTCATCTTTTTTTTCTTATAGTTTCGCCCCTTCCTTTCTACTTCGAGTTTCCCTTCCATACATCCGTTATTTCTTCCTTGCTTGCTTCTTTTTCTTTCTTTCTTTTATTTTATTCATTTTTATATACTCTCACCTCATTTTTCTTCCATGTCAATCTTGTGTTTTTATTCTTACATATCCGCACCTTTCTTTTTCCTAATTTTCCTTCTCATCATTCGTTCTTTCATTCTTTCTTTCTTTCTTTCTTTCTTTCTTTCTTTCTTTCTTTCTTTCACTATCCACCTTTTCTTTCTTTCTTTCTTTCTTTCTTTTTTTCTTTCTTTCTTTCTTTCACTATCCACCTTTTCTTCCTTTCTTTCTTTCTTTCTTTCACTATCCACCTTTTCTTTCTTTCTTTTCTTTTCTTTACTTTCTTTTCTGCTATTGTCAATCTTTATTTTTTTTTACTTTCACTCTTTCTTTTCTATTACCTTCCATATTTTACTTTTCTTTCTTTTTTGCTATAATCTATAAGTTTTCCTTCTTTCTTTCTGTCATTGTCGATGCTTTACTTGCTTTCTTTCTTTCTTTCTTTCTTTCTTTCTTTCTTATCTGGCTTCCTAATTTACATTTCTTTCTTTCTTTCTTTTATCGTTTTCTCTTTTTTTCTTTTTTACTATTTTCTTGCTTTTTCATTCTTCCTGCTTACGTTGCAACACCGGTTTTGAGAATGGTATTAAGTCACCTTCTCTCTCGCCACCATCTATGGATTAATTACTAGGCCTTGTATCAGTAAATAATTCTTCAAACCTAAAAATATTACTTGGTTTTACATAACCTGTAAAAGGTTGTTAGTCTATAAAAACAAATCAATCAATTTTTATGTTTTTCCTTTCTGTCCTTTTTTTCTCCTACTTTTTCTCCTTATCATCATCCGTTCTTTTTTCTTCTTTTTCTTTTTTTTCTTTCGTTCTTTCTTTCTTTGTTTATTTTTCTTTCTTTCTTTCTTTCTTTCTTTATTTATTTCTTTATTTATTTTTCTGCTTTCTCTTACTGTCCACCTTTTCCTTCTTTCTTTTATTTTTTCTTTCTTTTTTGTTATTGTCAATCTTTTATTTTTTTTTTACTTTCTCTCTTTCTTTTCTATTACCGACCATTCTTTCTTTCTTTCTTTCTTTCTTTCTTTCTTTCTTCCTCCGTGTAGATACCCGATCACAAAAAGGATAAAGAAAAATAATAACAAAATTTGATAAACCAGAAAAGCACGACATGCCGAGGCACAAACCACCAAAAAAGCAGACGACATTGAAAGCGGAAGCAAAATAAAGATTTAAGAAAGAAAATACCAGACAATTTCTGAAATAAAAAGAACAAGATGGAAACAGATAAACGCCAGCATTTGAACAACGACACAGAATTGTTAATATCTCAAGCGTAAATATTGTTGAAGAGGGGAGGAGGCAGATTATTCCTATTGTGGACGATGCCAGGAGCAAGTCGTTATTTACTCTGCGCTGACAATATAAATTAGAAAACTTTATTTCTGCGAGGGCAGGCAGAGTAAACACGAAAACACCATTCGAATAGCACTGCAAACATTTCCGCCGTTGGTCTCCTATCCGTTGTTTTATGATTTAAAACTGCTTGAAAAGTGGAAAAATAATTTATCTGCCATGCATAAAATTCCTCCATCATCATCATCATTATTATTATTATATAGTTCTTTTGTTAGATCTCACGATCTCTACATCCTGCCAATACCTCATAAATATTGGACTATTCCGATTTGATCGCGTGGAAAAGCAAAAGACATATCACAAACGGTACTTTGTTTCAGGGGAAAAAAGAAAAGAAAAGAAAAGAAAGAAAGAAAGAAAGAAAGAAAGAAAGAAAGAAAGAAAGAAAGAAAGAAGTTTTTAATGTCTTCTGCTAATGTCTCGTAAATTAAGGATTCATTGCGTGGAAAGACAAAAACCATATCATAGACGTCACTTGGTTTGAGTGAGAAAATGAAAGAAACAAAGAAACGAAAATAAGAAAAGATGAACGAACGGATGATAGATAGATAGATATGAATAAGCTGAAACCGATAGATATGAATACGCTTAGATAGATATGAATAAGCAGATAGATAGATAGATAGATAGATAGATAGATAAATAGAAAATGAAGAGACTGAGATAGATAGATAGATAGATAGATAGATAGATAGATAGATATGAACAGATGCTGATAGATAGATATTAACAGACTGAGATATAAAGAAATTGAAAGAATTATAATTAAACTGATAGATACAAAGATAGAGATGTATGAACAGACTTATAAATACAGGTACACACACACACACACACACATATATATATATATATATATAGAGAGAGAGAGAGAGAAAGAGAGAGAGGGGGAAGACAGAGAATACTACTGTGAGTAGAAGGCATATAGCTAGCTAGTTTGCTGATTCAGATCCTATTTCACGTATTTACACATCTTAGAGATGGCTTACGGTCATATCACGTTGTAGCACCTGTTCTTTTATAAGGACATGGGATGAATTTTTTCCAAAGCTTTACATTCAATGCAAAAAGTTGTTCATCATAAAAGTTCTGACAATAATTTCAACGTAAGAAACATAATGTTTACAAAAAGAGAACAGAACATTAAAGCTAAAATATACAGAAAGTGCACTAATTTCTGAAGCCTCCCCTGTAATTTGAAATACACTGAAGAGACAAGAATAAAACTAAAAAGCTGACATGGATTATTTACATTTATCTGACTGTTTAGGTGATTGGAATTTCAAACCGAACCCTTTATTTCGTCCACCGGGGTAGATTGTTCTAGTTCCACGTGTCATGCCTCTTCCGATGGCCTCATTTGTTTGCTTTTAACTCAACTCTCCAAGATTTGGTTCACCACTGCTGCGACCTGGTATTGAACTCACAACAAGTTCACATGGCCCAGTGAATAACGATGTTGGTTAGATCAAATGACGAGACCCAAAAGAGTTATGAGTTCAATACCACGTCATCGCAATGTTGTTGGCTTCCTTTACTACTGAAGACAGTTTCTTAATTCTTTGATGATCTTTGACACAAGTCATTATTCAATCTTCTCTAGTTTACATGTATCTTTGAAGATCAATTGTTGTAGTTTTGTAAGACAGTTCTAGTTGAACTAATCCTCTCCCTCTTTCGGATCTGGGTCCATACAGACGATTGACATCAGCCTTAGGATGATGCATGCGGTGACAAGTGAGAAGCTTTCTCGTGATGACATTTATTTGATTAATGTCAACTATGGTCCAGTTAAGCATTTTGCAACAGAGACACCTAAAGAGTATATAGCTGATATTCTGTTTTGCGAATATAATTCGGTATTTAACACCAGATGCAACAGCCTACAGTATTCTTCACTGACTCCTAATATTTTTATTATTATTATTATTATTCGTGTATGTTATGTTTCCTGCTTTGTATGCTGTACAGCCGGGTCCAAACTATGGTCCTTAGGCCCTATAGGAGAATTGTCATTTAACTGATAGCACTTATCTTAATATATGGGATGTTCCTAGTAGAGCGTTCTTCTGGGCAATGTTGATGTTAATCTGGGACACTGTTATTATTATTATTACTTTTTGTGTATGTTTCCTGCTTTATATCCTGCAGAGCCGGGGCCAAACTATAATCCTTAGGCCCTATAGGAGAATTGTCATTTAATTGATAGCACTTTTCTTAGTATATGGGTTGTTCCTAGTAGGGCGATCTTCTGGGCAACTTGTATATTGATGTTGCCTGGGACATTGTTATTATTATTAATATTTGTGTATTTTAGGTTTCCTGATTTGTATCCTATAAAACCGGGTCCAAGCTATGGTCCTTGGGCTCTATAAGAGAATTGTCCTAATTGATAGCACTTTTCTTAATATAGGGGATCTTCCTAATAGGGCGATCTTCTGGGCAACTTGTATGTTGATGTTTCCTTGGACACTTTTAGTAAAACGGTCCATTCCTTTTCTCACGAGGCCCAGTGCTCCGATTACTATTGGTACAGTCTCAGTCTTCATTCCCAACATTCTGTTAATCTCGATCTCCAGGTTCTTGTATTTGGACCAATTTCTCGATAATTTTCATGGAGTTGTTTCTCTCAGATAGTACTACTTGTATTTTGTGATAATATCGGGACTGCTGGCATTTATTTTCTTGTCAATTTGAATTGGCATGCCCCAAAGAACAATGTCTGATTGGTTGTCATCTCTCAGTGGTTTCGATTTTATGCTTCTTGCATATCTTCCATTGCACATATGTCGCTACATTGTTATGTCTCTAGGTATATTCATTTTTTGTTCGTTTCGGACATCCTCAGATAATTTAGTCGACAGTTCCATCATATTTCCCGGAGATTCTGCATTTCTGGCTAGTTCTATCTTTGATTATGTGACAGTGGTAGGATCTGGTTGCGAGGCTTTGATCCTGAGCTGCAATAATTAGGCCTTCTGACTCAGTTTTCAGCCCGGTGCTCCTCAGCCACTGATGTGTTTTCTGTGGGTCGATATCGGCTTCTTATTAATTATTACATATTATTATATCATGCTAATCTCGATTTGGACAATTTCTCGATAATTTTTATAATGTTTCTCTCAGATGGTACTGCTATGTCAATAAGCGGAAACTTCCTGAATTTCTTGACTTTTATGATAATATGAGGTCTGTTAGTTTTTATTTCCCTGACATTTTGAATTGGTATGTCCCAGAGGATAGTTACATCATTATTTTGGATAATTGTGTCCGGGGTTTTGAATTTGTGCTTGTTGCATATCTCCCAGTGCAGATATGTCGTAACGTTGTCTGTGGGTATATTCATTTTTTGCCAGTTCCGAACACCTTGAGATAATATAACCGACAGTTTCATCATATTTTCTGCAGATCCTACATTTCAGGTTAGTTCCATCTTTAATTATGTGACAGTGATTGGATCTGGTTGCGAGGCTTTGGCCCTGAGCTGCAGTAATTAGGCCTTCTGTCTAAGTTTTCAACCCGGTGATCCTCAGCCACTGATATGTTTTCTGTTCGTCCATATCTGCTTCTTTCGTTTATGTATGCATTTGCCATGTAACGCCTTATCCTCCCAGTATTTCTATTTTGTAACTTCATTTGGCCAAGTCGTTTTGCTTTCTGTTTTACTCGTTTGGCGTAGAAGGTATTCGCTTCGTTTTTGTTGGTAGGATTTCAGGTATATTAAGTAATTACTTGAAGATTGCAGCTTTTTGTTGATGGAGTGGATTTGGTGGTTTACTATTTGTAGGAGAGGGTCATTGGTTTTTGTGAGATAGGCTTCCAATCGGATTGTTGTAGTTTAGTCCAAGTTGGATTAGACCTCTGCCTCGCAAAGTTTTTGGTACGTACAGCCTATCAACCTCTGATTTCGAGTGGTGCATCCTCATTTGGGTAAGCATTTACCCGGTCGTGGCACCTAATCATTTAATGTCATTCAACTTCCATTTAATAACGTTATGTTACAACGGGTATAGTTAGGGTATGTTACTCCCCACGTGAGGCATTTGGGTCGTTTTTCTAGGTTTATTATTATATCATTGTATACCCGTGCGAATTTTTGGTGGGTGCTAGATAGATTTTTAATCCAAAACTTGGATGGTAGGTCTATTTTTGGTGCTCTCCAGTTTTTGATTTTGCAGATGGCAGCAGTTGTTTCAGCAATATTGATATCCGTCCATTTTTAGCACTCTATATGTGTGTGTTGTTCCTGTTCTTGCTTGACCAATGAAGCTCTTTCATTGTTCATTTTAAAGTTTTCCCATATCTTACACCAGAACTCTTCGACTCCCTAGATATTAGGTGGGTCATTTATCTCTATGTCATTTTTCCCCGTTCTCTATTTAGTTTCTTGGCATCATCGTTGAATATTTTATTTTGCCAGAAGAATCCTGTTCTTTTTTCATAAAGCCTGTTTCTCTGTGCTTTCACTTGAACTTGTTGTTTCAGGTTCTCTTTAAATTTTGGTACCTCAGTCTTATTCTTTGTGTCTAGGATTCAGTTGTCTCCTTTTTTTTTTTTTCCATTTTAGAGCCCTTGTCTACTTCAGTTAGAGTGACAGTAGTGTTCTTAGTTTACTTATTCCGGTTTCTATTATTTATTTCCAGACTTTTCGTTTACGTTCTGTTTTACTTTTTTAGCGAGGTTGATGGTTTCCTTCATTTGACGGTTCTTTCTTACTTTTGGAATTGTCGGTCATTCCTCGAAGGCATTTCTTTTACATTCTACAATTTATGTTGGATATTTTTTGTCACCTCTGTTTTTTTTTATATTCGTCATTATCTTCCTCTATTTCCTCGCTTACTTCAGTTAGAAGTGACATTTGTTCTCGTAGTTTATTTATTTCGCTTTCTATTTTTTCTTTCCAGACTGGATTTTTTCTTATTCGCCTACGTTCTTTTCTTAATCTTTCATATAGTGTTACTGAGATCATTGCCGAGGCTGCGTATATAAGAATATTAATTTTTGTCAAGGTTCTCGGTCTTTCTATTTCGTCCCTTATTTTTCTAATTGCTTGGTTAGCGAGGTTGATGCTTTCCTTCACTTGACGGTTCTTTCTTACTTTTGGAATTGATGACTTTTCCTCGAAAGACATTTACATTCACCCATTTATATCAGATGTTTTTGTCATCTCTGTTTTTCTGTCGTATTCGTCATTATTTTCCTCTGTCTATATTTTATTGCAATGATTACTATTTGTTCCTCTGCGTGTGTCTCCTCTGGGTTGTTGGTTTTTAACCCCTCGATGTTAATGTTTAATCAATTTTTGATGTTTTCTCGGGTGCTTTCGAGTTTTATATCAGGTATTCTTTTTTTCCCTAATGATGACACGCCTGACTTTGGCTAATTTGTTGGCATCGATGTTTAGTCTGTTTGAAGGGTTTTTTTTCTCGCCAGATATTATAGGTGGCTTTGGTAATTGTTGTAGTTGTCGAATTGATCGTAGCGGTGTAAAATGCTATCATTACTTCAATATACTCTTCCTTAGACCATTTATTTATTGTTCTTTTTGTCGGATCTTCTTTTAATGAATATAGAGGTCTTCCGGGAGGACTGTCCTCAGCGTGGTTTTCCTCTAGTTCTTGTTGGGTAGAGTTTGTTTCAGTTGCAGATTTTACCGATCACAATCTGGCTCCTCACTGGCGATCGCTGTTCTTGTTGACCCGCGTGACGACCGATGCTGTTTAACAATATCTTTCCATGTGTCAGCATTATAGTTAGTTCGTATTTACCCATACGTGGTGGGGGCTGGTATGTGGACGCCAGAGCATATCTATACCATGGTGGGCCATCACGTTCAGACGGTCAAGTCTGCTCCTGCTATTTTTTTTTAATATTGCTATTATTAACAATAGTGGTAAAAATCATCCTTTATATGCGTTTAGATCCCAAGGAGACAGGACGTGCTTCACCAGACTCCGACATAACTTCAATTTTCAACGGAATTTTCTTTGACATTTTCTCTCTTATGTTCCATGATATGAAACTATATTCAAATCCTCCTAATACTGTTATTACACGAATATATATATATATATATATATATATATATATATATATAGATAGATAGATAGATAGATAGATAGATAGATAGATATAACCCATAAATACAATTAATATATAGATACTAATGATATTTAAAGTTTATTAAAGTGTTTGTATTGTATGCCTTATAAAATTAAAAAAATGATAGAAATTAGGAGGATTTGAGATAATTATAAATAAGTAATTGATCGATTCTAGAAGAAACCTCAACAGAATGCAGAAAGCACCGGACGGCTGTTTCGTCTTATATTTGGGACTCATCAGCAATGCGCATCCACTACCGAGAATTGAAACCCGGACAGTTATGATAAGGGGCAAACGGGTGTCGGTGACGAAGAGGTAACGAATTAGACTCGATATAGCCCCGCTCTATCACATATTCCAAGTTTCTCTTTACCCATAGGACTGTGCCTCAACGAGCTACCACTACCATCCCCAAGCCGCTCAGTCCCGAGCATTAGAAGCCAATTCAAGCAAGGATATACAGATAGAAACAATTAAGAGGATTTGAAATAATCATAATTAAGTAATTCGTCAAGTCTAGAAGAAACCTCAACAGAATGCAGAAAGCACTGGACAGCCGTTTCTTCTTATATTTAGGACTCATCAGCAGTGCGCATCCACTACCGAGAATTGAAACCCGGACAGTTACATTATCAGGCAGATGGATGAGTTCCACCACGGAATGTGATCGAGTCTGATTCGCTACCTCTTCGTCACCGAGGCCCGTTGGAATAGTTGGTATGGCGTTTGCCTTATATCGTATATATATATATATATATATATATATATATATATATATATATATATCATATACAATTTTTAAGAAATATAATCATTATAGGTTGTTTTTTTTTTAAATCAGAATTTAAATAAATTATGATTTATAGTTACATAGATTTAAATTAAAATCAGTTGGATATTTATGTTGAGTTATATTTACGTTGAAGTATATATTTCTGAAAATGAAATAAAACAAAATAAACGCAAAATTATTATTATTATTATTATTATTTTTATTTCCTTTGATTTCTGTTGTATACACATTTCTTTACGAGTCCCGCCCATAGACCTGAGGTCAGAAATGGCCTAATGACATTTTCCACTGCGCATTTCTAGAAAAAATAAATCAATGAACATATGATGCCACCTTAAAATTGTTACAGGTCCCATTTTGTAACCGGGTCTGGGTGGTGTTCATACCAATTTCTTGCAATTTCCTTTTCGTAAAATTTGCATATATTCCATCGCGGATATTGGCCCACTCTGTCACGCCGGATTTTATATTCACTGGGTGCCAATATTGTGCAACCTAATACAAGATTATCAGTTGTTTCTTCGTTATCATTATTATTATTAGTAGTAGTAGTAGTAGCAGCAGCAGCAGTAGTATTCGTCGTAGTAGTAGTAGTAGTAGTAGGTTCATCAGGACTAAACTGAAAATGTGATTTCATTTTGAACTAGTCAATAAAGCCGTTTCATGAAAATTTCTTCGAATCGCAATGTCCCCTAAACATATTATTATTGTTATTAAAAATATGATCCCATTTTAGGCTATCATTATTATTATTATTATTATTATTATTATTGCATTTTGCCGTTGCTTTGTGTAGTGTGAGGTGACCAGATACTTCAAGAATTTTTTTTTTTTGTAAAAAAGATGAGATGCTATGGAATCAGGGAGATGAAAACATATGTAATTGTAGCTACTGCATGGGGGGAAATCTATGCGAGATATCGGAATTACCAATGAGTATGATTTTTTGCAATTCATCTATTTTGGGGCGTCCAGGAATTTGATGCACATAATTGTTTGCCCTTTTGATACAATTCACAAAGCCCCCATAACAAAAAAAGTAATGTCTTCGTCATGAGATGTTATTATTAGCAATATTATTACTATTGCTTCTCAAAATTATTTCGTTTTTTTTTGTTTTTTTTTTTTAAATCATGTGACTTAATAACCTATAACTAATGATCTTCGTATAGTTGGGCCCAGGTGAACGCCTTCCGTCTTTTGATGAAAAAAACATATGACCCAGAGTACGTTTATGAAAATGCAACTTCCTACTCATAGATATTTCTCAAGAATGCCATTAACCTAAAGCAGTCGTATTCATTGCTGTCTTTTACCAAAGACAGGGTTTTTTCTTTATTCTTATTTTGAAGAAATGACCTTAGATTTCTTCTTCGTTCTTTTGTCATTATTTTCATTGATGTTTTGCATTTTCTTTTTCTTTCGTGTTTTCTTTCTTCTTCATTTTCATTTTTTTTTTTTGCGTTCGTCTCTTTTGATATTTCTTATTATTTTCTCTTCCTTTTTTTTTCTCCATGTTAAGGTAAAGAAAAAATATAAAACGTTTATCAATCTAAGATGTTTCACTTTCCTTACAGTTTCATCAAAGCTTGAGATATGGGGAAATAGGAAGAAATTCTGGTATTTTCCCTTTTGTTTTGTTTAAAGTTTCATTGGTCAGTCATGTATCACGTGAATTGCTTTATTTTTCTGGTTTCCTCTTTCTCCCCCTCCTGATCCTTCTCCTCCTGATCCTCTTCTTATTCTGGCTTCTTCCTCCTCCTCCTCCTCCTCCTCCTCCTCCTTTTTTTCTTTCTCTTCTTCTTCTTTTTCTGGCATCCTTTGATTTTTTTCTCCTTTTATTTCTATTTTGCTTTTTTCTTTTGTCGCTATTTTTCTTTATTTATGTTTATTTATCTTCTCTTCTTCATTTTCTAGGACTTTTTCTCCTCTTTGCATTTTCATTTCTTCTTTTTCTTCCCCTTCTTCACTTCTTCGTCATCTTCTTCGTTTTCTTCTTCTGTTTTACTTTTTCTTTTTCTTCGTTTTCTTTTGTTCTTTTTCTTCTTCTTCCTCTTCACATTCTTCACCTTCTCCGTCTTCTTCTTCTTCTTCCGTTTACTTCTTTTTCTTCTTCTTCCGTTAACTTCTTCTTCTTTCGTTTACTTCTTCTTCTTCCGTTTACTTCTTCTTCTTCTTCTTCTTCTTCTTCTTTGTTTCCTCTCCTTCCATTTCTTCGTTTTCTATTTCTTGAGCTGCCATTTCAACTTTGCTCGTTTCCTTCTCTTTCTTTCTCCTAGTTGTATTCTTTTCTTTCTTCTTTTCCTACTTTTACTAATGTCCACCCTATTTAAGGCCCAAGAGCTACTCAAGGTAAAAACGGTTGTATGAGGTGTAAAATATGAGTTTATAGTTAGAAAATGGTTAGCCCTAGATCTGAAGAATTTACAATTGTGGTGGTCGGGTAAGTATCGACTTGGGAGTCGTTTCCACAAAATAGTGGATCCTGGGGAGACGCTGTTTGAGTGGAATATCATGCTTACTAATGGAATGACACAATGAAATACGAAAGAAGAGGTATAAACGAATAGATAAAATCTTTGGTGAGCAAGTGACAACAAAACTGGATATTTAGTATTTAGGAACAAAGGGTTATATATTAGCAGTTGTGATTGAAGTAGTTCAGATCCATGAACGGGACCAGTCTGTACCTTAAGTAGTTCCGATGCCACCAGTTCGAGTTGCCAGCAACGCGTCTTGATGTTGAGATGAACAGGGGAGGGGTTAGTAAAAAGAAAAATTGAAGGGGAGAGCCGATCTGTCAGAGAAACATGGTAGGAATTTTCCCAAGTGTCCCTGTCTACCCCCCTCCGTTACGTTCCAGAAATAAACGCCTAAATACAGCGTGTCCCCAAAAATTTGGCATCATTTCGCAGGCCAATAATTTTGGCAATTCTTGTTGTAATAACCTCAATTTTTCACAGAATGTATTGAAACAGATCAATGGAAGTTGACAGTACGTGCTTATCTCAACAAGAATCTGCCAGCGTGGTGGAGATGAAGACAGTTTTCTGATGAAATGGCCGCCGCGGTCACCCTCTGTGATTTCTTTTTATGGGTATATGGGAAGGGACTGGTTTATGTCTCCCCCTCTTCCTGCTAGCATGGATGAGCTCAAGCAGAGAATCACTTCCGCAGTGGATAATGTTACCGGAGACATACTACAGCATGTTTGGCAAGTGCTTAACTCCCGACTTAACGTGTGCCGTGTCACATATTGGCCGGTCCCATAATAAACTTATGTTCAACACTTTCAATTTCATTGAAACCGGTCCCATAATAAACTTTTAAAATGATGTTTTTGAACACCCCTCGTTAAAATACGTTCTCAAAAATATTTCAAATTGAATTTGTTATTTACAAGAAATTACTAGATTTCAAAATAATTAATTAGAATAAATAATAAATTACATTTTTTGAAACAATGATGTCAAATTTTTCAGATTCAAAACATTAGGACACCAACCTGTAATAATGTAAAATATGTATTGTTGTTCGAAATATTCATTTCCCATTTAAAGAGGAAGGCGTGGAGATAATTCTCCATTTTCCTTTCGTGTGCCGTGTCAAGGCGGTGCATGAACAACGGTGCAAATGAACACTGTCCATAATAAACTTTCAACCAAACTGTTTTTCATTGAGCTACCTATAATGATAATTGAAAATGATGAAATGGAGACGCAAGGGTATTGGGGTTTATTCATTTCCGTGATCTCCAAAACGAACTTCCCTTCGTGTCATAATGACACGAATTAGAGACGGTTTTAATATCCTGATCAAAAGAACTTCTTTCCACTGAGACGGTTTTAATATTAACTAAAAAACCCTAGAGTATAAGGTTGGTGTAACCTACACACGGATGCAGACAGCTATACTTAATATCCCCTGGAGACAACATCCAACTAAATCACAACTCAATGGACCCATCACCTGATACTTCTACAATCTTTGGCGAACGCAGAATGCGGCTCGCAGAACACTGCCGTCGAGCCAAACAAGAACTCACGTGATCTCTGGACACCTAGCCATGGAGCAAGATGGATTGGTTGGTCAGCAACCACATACATTGAGCAGCTATTTTAAGAGCCTAATGGCCTTCCGACACGGATGCAGGACCAAGATTGACTCATAGATACCTGAACTAACTCGACTGAATTACAGGATAATTGATAGATTATGTCAATTGATATGTCCTGTTTGGTAATATTGGAAGAGGGTCTCGTTTTATATTCACAATATGCTTAGTGCAACTAATATAGTTTTTTGGTTTTATTCTGTTACTTCACTCTGTACAAAGTTGGGGACCACTCACAGTAAACCGACACTGAGTGAACATTTTGTAAGAGAGCGGATAACATGGAGTAAGTATTGGACATTATGAGCAAGTGTAGGATAAATATCGGTTGACCCTGGACTTCAAGATACCAAGGTCTGGGAAGCATCCTCTGTTGAGCAAACTCACGAGTTCTACGTAAAAAAGGAGTAAAAACGAAGTGGACAAAATAACAAATTCACAGTGGGACTGAATGCTGGTTAAAGTTTGTCGTATCTTTCCAGTCGGTGCTAATGGTTGTAGCTTGAGTTAATATACGAAGGACTACACAGAGTATTTTGGAGAGCAAGCAAACCGCTCCATTTGAAAGACGGAAAAAGGCACAAACTTTTGCCAGCTAAAAACGACTGGGCGTCAACTGAGATAATCAGAACAAATATCAAGAAGCTACGTGAATTCCCGTATAAAAGATGAGGAATCGTTATTTACACACGCTCTATTTATCTAACATACGTTATCATCATAACTTCTTGGCCATTGAGCCTTGAGATGTTTGCTGATCTGGAAGGTTACCAGAACGAAAATAAAACACCTGCTGAAGTTTCCAGAAAGAGCACTAATGGTTTAATGATAATACATTTTTTCGGAAATAGCACCTGCAGAACAGCAGCTATAATAATCAACACAAATATGAATCGAGCTTTTTACATACCCCTAAACTATTTACGTCAGTGCATGTATTTAATTCGATTCTCGTTGCTTTACATTCAAACAGGTTATATCACCTGGCCGAATGTTCGCTTTCTGACCATGATGTTATCGGTAACAGAACCCGGTCTGTCTTGCTATTTACCCACAGCTGGGGGGGGGAGAGAAGAAGAGGATTAATACGTTTCCCAAGGTTATTAGCACGTAAGTGAATGTAATGGATTCGACTGGATTCCGAATTCAATCCGAGCCGCTTTCAACTACAGATATTTTAATTATATACTTTCGAAGTAAAGGTATGTTATTTTAGACATGTAGTTTATAGATCATAAAATGTATTGTTGGTAATTTTAATATAAAATTGTATTTTTATATTCCTTTACTTTTGCATAGATTGTCATTTTATTATAAAAACTAGCATCATGGCCCGGCGTTGCCCGTGCTTGATTAAAAAATCGTACGACTCATACAGCAATCGCTATCACTTGACTTAAATACGAAATAAAAGTTTCGTTTAGAAATTCCAATCACCTGAAGATTTGCAAATCATTTTCATAGAAAATCTAGCAGCATGGCCCGGCGTTGCCCATGCTTGATTCAAAAATCGTACGACTCATACAGCAATCGCTATCACTTGATTTAAAATATTTTTGCCCTTCCTTGCCTTTTTAAGGAGTGCCCTTTGCCGTGCTGATGTTTTTACATGCCTTACTTCTTGCCTATCTCACACTGCCAATTTTTTTAAGCTCTATGCTAAACACTAAATCAGTTACGAAAAAGAACTAAACAAAATGAACACAAAACGATCAGCTTTAAAAAAGGACTCGTAACTGGAAAAACCGAGTGAAAAAGAATGTTAACAACAAATACTTTTTCAAACCCAACCCAGTTCTGCGGAATCAGAATCAACGTTGAGTTAAAGCAAGCGAATGAGCCAATTAGGAGTAAAGTGCCATGCAGATTTAAATTTTTCCCACTTGTGACGAATGCAGCTATCGATTTTTTTTTTTTTTTGCATGCTAGCATGCTAGTTAACATTCGTGTCAGTCAGCTGTTGGCTCTCACGCTAGCCAATAGAATCTTCCTGCTTATTCGTGGCAGCCAGCTATTGGCTCTCACTCTGGCCAGTACAAAATGGTCGCAAACTACATGAAAACTGCCGTAGAAGCATGAAAAAACTCTACGAGACGGTGAAGCCCATACACATGGCCAGAGGCGCCTCCTTCTCGGCTCCAGAAATGAATAACAACTAAGGTAAATTAAGCTCGGTAGTCAAATGAGTAGAGTGACATTTTGGCAACAAAAATAGTGCACGCAAACTTTTTCAAAACAAGTCCTTGCAACGATAGTAATTAGAATAGGAATATATGATAATTATATTGCAAGTATTTGGGGATAGATTCTTCATTTTTGTATATTTTATTAAAAACCAGAAAAAATTAATTATTTTTCATTGGATCGAGAATTTTTTTTTCTGGTTAGCTGGGAGAATTTAAACAAAAGCTGTCTTCAAAGGAGATTCGACATTCATAGCAGTTTCACAACGCCATACATTATCGGATAATGAATTGTAAAAGATGCAGGCGCTATGTAGACGAACACTTCATGTACAAATTATCCATAAAATGATATCTCACTCACTTTCTCTCTGTCTCTCTCTTTCTTTCTGTCTATATATATATATATATATATATATATATATAGATAGATAGATAGATAGATAGATAGATAGATGCGTGTGTGTTTGTGTGCATGTTTACATTTTTTCTATATGTACAAATATCTATCTATCTATCTGTTTGTCTGTTTATCTATCTATATATATTTGCGTTATATATATATATATATATATATATATATATATATATATATATATATATATCGTTGTTAGCTCTATCACTGATATTGATCGCTTTTCAATAAGTACCGCGCGTATATAATATATCAATAATATATATTGGAATTTCATGTATACATATATATATATATATATATATATATAGATATATATATAGATATATATAGATAGATAGATAGATAGATAGAGAGAGAGAGAGAAACAATGCAATATAATTGTTTATATCTATCTATCCTTCTCTCTCTCTCTCTCTCTCTATATATATATATATATATATATATAGAGAGAGAGAGAGAGATGTGATTGAATTTACTAACATCTATCTTTTTCTTTGTCTCTCTATCTCTTTGTTTCTCTCTCTCTTCCTCTCTCTCTATTTATATATATAAATGTATTTCTCTCT